GGGCCGCCCCAGCGCCGGCGGGAGGGGCCTCCGCGTCGGGGGCGAGGAGCCAAGGCGCTCCTTGACCCTCGCCCGCAGGCCGGCCGGCCCGAGCCTCGGCGTACCTCCCTCTCCTGGCCGGCTGCGCTCTCCCCCCAGAGCCGACCGGGCAGAGACCCTCAATGCTGCTAGAGGACCGCCGGAGTCGCCCGGGCGTTCCTCACTCACTACAGGCCGCCCCCTCCTCGTGTTCATTCACTTTTCACTCCTGACTCAACATCATTCGTTCTAGGGCTAGGACTGCGTCCTGCAACGCCCGCAGTCGGGAAAGGGGCTCCTTACTGACAGTCTCCACGCGGGGCGATAAGTGCTGTCCCAGCGCTGTCCAGAGACAGCCTCGCCCACTCCGAGGGCCAGTCTAATTCCGTCTCCCCTCCTCCCCCACCCTCCTGCTTACGCGGAGGGGTAGGATGGGGTGGAGCCCCGAGAGGCCGCTATGAGGACCCTGAGAGGTGAGACCCTCTCGCCTTCGGAATGCGGGGGATTCAATTTTAGACTTCCGAGCTTGCCGGGAACCCCGGGTTCCTTCCCCCACAGAGGGCTGAAGCAGCCCCTGCCTGCCATGTGAGCTGAGCATGTGTGGATGTCAATCCAGCAGCCCCTCTTCCAGGCCCCCTCCCCAGCCCTGCAGGGCTCAAGTTACTCCTGGCCTTTCCTAAATGGCACTAGTTCCTCTTTAACCTTTGCAAAGAGGAATATAATCCTGGGGAGGTGAAAGACCCCCCCCCCCAAGCCATTCTGAAGCTCTTCCCCAGGGGTGGAATTAAAAGTAGGGACATTTTATTGGGGGACAGAGAGAAGGGAGGGATAGTTACTGGCCTTTGGGACGGGGGCTTTAGGCTATAGTGGGCACTTGGCTGCCAGCCGGGTGTGGAGGGGGAGGGTAGAGAGGGAGAGGCGGGGCTGGCTGGGGACAGGGTGGCTGGGGATAAATTCCCAGCCTGAGGGGGTGAGCTGACATTGTCCCAGCCGCCACCTAGACTGGAGCTCACCCCAAGCCCCCAGCCAAGACATCCAGGTCTGGTGAACCTTCCAGCCCAGGGGGATGGAAGTGGTAGAGGGTGAGGGTGGAGCTGCCTTGGAGGAAATAAGGGAAATGTCACCTTTTTCCCCCTTCTGGGACTGGGGTTGTTTAAGAAAGACTGGAGGAGTTGGAGCAAACAGGATGGGGTACCCAAGGATAGGGAAGTGAGGCTGTGAAGAGAGGCAGGCAGAGGTGGGTAGAGAAGGGTAGTTAGAGCTGGAGCCAGATGGAGAATCTGGGGCCCCTGAAGATCTGAAGAAGACTGAGGAGCAGGAAAATGAAAACCACAGTAACAGATCTGATGGCTGGGAAGCCACAGAGAACAGATTGCTTGACTTTTCCGGAGAGGGTTTCAGGGAGTGGTAGAATCAGAATCGCTGGTGTTATAAAGGAGAGGCCCCTGGATTCTTAGGATGGGGTGGAGGGTGGAATAGGAGCTGTTCTGAGTGGGGGAGGGGGCTGTGCCTGCCTCTTTGGTCTGTGACCTTTTTGTGGGATATTTTTAGCTCCAGCACCTGCCTTCTTGGGGTGGGGAAGACTCTTAAAGGGCACAGGGATTTGGAATTTGGGGTTCCTTAAGGGATCAACTGTCGACACTCACTCAACCTCTTGTCCTGCAGCCATGGCCATGCAGAAAATCATTGCCCGGGAAATCCTGGACTCCAGGGGCAACCCCACTGTGGAGGTGGACCTGTACACAGCCAAGGGTAACACAGGCCCATTGGATTGGTTTGCTTTGGAAGACCCCAACCCCATCTGGCCTCAGTCCCTGTCCCCTAACTGCCCCACATCCTCACCTATCTCTGAGATTCCCTTCCCCAGAGCTCTTCCCAGGCCTTCCTCTTCCAACCTGGATCTCCTGCTGGGAGAAGCACTAGTCTGTCTGCACTGCCTCCACTCTGGGCTCAGAGAGAAGACCTTGGTCCTTTAGAGGTGGATGGGACTCTCTATGATCTTCCAATTCCTCTCATCCCAGGCCGATTCCGAGCAGCTGTGCCCAGTGGAGCTTCCACAGGTATCTATGAAGCTCTGGAGCTAAGAGATGGAGACAAATCTCGCTACCTGGGCAAAGGTGAGGAAATACCAACACTGAAAGAGCCTGTGAGGGGGGTGGTTTCAGGATGTGGCCCCCCCCCCAATGTTTTCATGGGGTAGAGGATTGGAACCCAAAGCTCTTGAACTGGGGTCCACAGGAAGAGACCTGATTGAATTGAAGATCTGAACCCCCTCCTCTGGCCTCTCTAGGTGTCCTGAAGGCTGTGGAACACATCAACAAGACTCTAGGTCCTGCTCTGCTAGAAAAGGCAAGTTGGAAGAGCCTGATCCTCCAACCCCCCCTCCACTCCACCACCACCCCTGCTGCCTCATCCCAAGGAGCCCATGCTTGGAAGAGGCCAACTGTCCTGTCTCTCCAAAATACTTGTACTCCTTCCTTTTGCACATGCCCTAACTCTTTAGAAATCTGACTTCTGCTCTCCCCTCCTCAATCCTCCTCTTCCAGAAACTAAGCGTTGTGGATCAAGAAAAAATTGACAAATTTATGATTGAGCTGGATGGGACTGAGAATAAATGTGAGTGAAGGGCTAGGGATAGGTGAAGGGATGAGATGCAGGATAGATGGGAGAGAAACCACAGGGCTGACGTCTGGTTAGAATTATTACTGTGTCCCACATTTTGGGGCACATCGTAGCTGGATGGACTTTTATTCATTCCACAGGCATTTCCTGATGCCTGCCTTCTGCCAGGTCTGGGCTGGGCTGTGGACACAGATGTGAAGCTAGCACATTCCCTGGGGTGGGATTGCCCTGAGCACCTCAGACCCCTGGGGAGAGATCTGTTAACAAACTCTTAATGCCCAGTGATTTGGAGTTCTGGATTCTTCCTGGGGTGACCAGAGGGACTTTGTTTTGTTTTTATTTTAGAGAGGAAAAGGGAAAGAGAGAGGAAGGGGTGGGGGGAGAGAAACATCGATTTGTTGTTCCACTTATTTATGCATTCACTGGCTGATTCTTGTATGTGCTCTGACCTCAGATCAAACCTGAAACTTTGGTGTATTGGAATTACGCTCTAACCAACTGAGCTACCCAGCCAGGGCCAGAGGGGACATTTGAAGAGATGACCCCAAACCCTGGGGGAGAAGCTCTCATCCTCTCTTTGCGTTTACTTCCTCCAGCCAAGTTTGGGGCCAATGCCATCCTGGGAGTGTCCCTGGCTGTGTGCAAGGCTGGAGCAGCTGAGAAGGGGGTCCCGCTCTACCGACACATTGCAGATCTCGCTGGGAACCCGGACCTGGTCCTCCCAGTGCCTGTGAGTGCAGATGTCCTGTGAGATCCCACAGTGACAGAGTTGCCCCATCCAGCAAAAAGTTCATAAGCAGACCCTGGAAAGTTCACCTTCCAGACGCAGCTCCAAAGAAATGTTTTCCTGAAATGGAACCTCTCCTACTCAGTCCTGCCCCTCCTTATCCAAACCTTCCCTTAAGCCTCTCTGCGTCTTTTCCTTGATGCAACACAGTTCTTTCACATTCCAATCCTAGGCTCAATAACTCCAGTTTCTTATTCTGCATTTTATCCCAACCCCCAAATCAGATAGAGAGCTTCTTCTATCTGATTGGCAATGACAAGGATCTTTGCATTTCTTTGTATCTTCTTTAATCCTTATAAAAGCAAATTTCCTTTATATGGGAACCCTTTGAATTTAATGTCAATGATAACGTTATAGACAAAGCCTGAACTATGAACCGCTTAATATAATAAAAGTTTATTTCTAAAAAAAAGTTAAAAAAAAGTTACAATTTATTGTTACTTACTAGGCAGATATTATAAGAGCATGAGCTCTGGAGATAAGCTACTGGGTTCGAATCCTGGCTTTGCCTGTGTGCTAGTTATGTGACCTTAGGCAAGTTATTTAACCTCTTTTTTTTTTTTTATTAATCTTCACCAGAGGATTTTTTTTTCCAATTGCTTTTCAGAGAGAGTGGAAGGGGGTGGGGAAGAGAAACATCAATGTGAGAGAGCCACATTGATTGGTTGTCTCCCACACTTGCCCCAACCTGGGCCACGGATTGAACCTGCAAGCCAGGTACATGCCTTTGACCAGGAATCGAACCCGAGACCCTTTGGTGCTTGGGACAATGCTCTAACCACTGAGCAACAGGAGCTAAGGCATTATTTAACCTCTTTATGCCTCAGTTTCCTCATTTGTAGAGTGGGGGATAATAATAGTACCTAGTTCATGGGGTTGTTTTGAAAATGAGATGAGCTAATAGAATATATGTCAATCACTTAGAGCAGTGTCTGGCCTGTAGTAAGTGCCATGTCACTGTTACCTATTGTGTACCAGGCACATACTAGGAACTTCACATTGAGTTTCTCTAATTTTCAGCATAAGATCCTGCAGGGAAGCAGGTGGTATTCCCATTAGAAAAATGAGGAAAGAGGCTCTAAGGAGTAAAATTACTCACCCTAGATTACTCAGCTAGTAAATAGGGAAGTCAAGATTCCACCTCAACCCCTCCTCCCCAACTTCTCTTGATCCCTCATACCTTGGCCCAGGTCTGAACACCCACTCCTCCTCTCAGGCCTTCAATGTGATCAATGGGGGCTCCCATGCTGGAAACAAGCTGGCCATGCAGGAGTTCATGATTCTGCCTGTGGGAGCCAGCTCCTTCAAGGAAGCCATGCGCATTGGCGCCGAGGTCTACCACCACCTCAAAGGGGTCATCAAGGCCAAGTATGGGAAGGACGCCACCAATGTGGGTGATGAGGGCGGCTTTGCACCCAACATCCTGGAGAACAATGAGGGTCAGTGTGAGCACTCTGAGGGGCAGAACCCCTGGGTCCTCACAGAGGAAGGGGCTGCAGAGACAGGGTGCACCGGAGCCTCAGGTCTTCTCTTGTCCTTCTCCCAGCCCTAGAGCTGCTGAAGACGGCTATCCAGGCAGCTGGCTACCCAGACAAAGTGGTGATTGGTATGGATGTGGCGGCATCTGAGTTCTATCGCAATGGGAAGTACGATCTAGACTTCAAGTCCCCTGATGACCCCGCACGGCACATCACTGGGGAGAAGCTGGGGGAGCTGTACAAGAGCTTCATTAAGAACTATCCTGGTGAGACCCTTCAGGTGTTCCAGTGCACCTGCCCAAGTACTCAGCAACTGCCCAACACACTGACTTCAGAGTCTCCATTGCTATCAACTCGATCCTTCCAGTCCTTAGCACCATTGCAGTCTCCATCCAAACTCTTTTGACCTGTCACCCCCTTCATGAGGCCCTCAAGCTTTTAACCTGACTTTGCTCCATCTCCCACCAGTGGTCTCGATCGAAGACCCCTTTGACCAGGATGACTGGGCCACTTGGACTTCATTCCTCTCGGGGGTGGACATCCAGATTGTGGGAGATGACCTCACAGTCACCAACCCCAAGAGGATTGCTCAGGCTGTTGAAAAGAAGGCCTGTAACTGCTTGCTGCTGAAGGTCAACCAGATTGGCTCGGTGACTGAATCCATCCAGGCGTGAGTGCCTCCTGGCCCTGGGGTGCACCATAGCTTCCCTCCACCTGTTCTGCCTACTCCAGCTGCAGTCCTGCCCTCAAACTCCAAGTCTACCTTTCCCCTGGCTCCTGACCCACCCCACTCTCCTCACCTCAAGGCTTTGATTAACTCTTGGCCTGACCCCAAGAGCTTTGCCACTGTGACCTGCCATCCCCTCCCTACCCCATACCATTCTTTTCTCCCAGATTCTGTACTACTTCCCACCAGCATCTCAGAAATCTCCTCTTCTCTCCTACTTTCCAAAGAACTTTAGTCATCACCCTCCCCGCAAAGTGCCCAATCCCCAAAACAGAAACAGAAAAGCCCCATCCAGCCCCTGGCTTTCTCACCAAGGTCCCGTTAGGCCTTATCGAGTGTCCTCTCTACCCAGCTGCAAACTGGCTCAGTCTAATGGCTGGGGAGTGATGGTGAGCCACCGCTCTGGGGAGACTGAAGACACATTCATTGCCGACCTCGTGGTGGGGCTCTGCACCGGACAGGTACTCATGGCTCCCCTCTGACACATTAGAACAAGTTTTCTTGTGGTCTCTGGTCTCCTGCCCCTGAGTTGAATGACACCACAGGCTACTTCCTCAGGGCCAGGCCCAATCCCTCCTCTCTAGCCTCACGCAACCCTTGGAATTCCTCTTCCCTCCTCAGATCAAGACTGGTGCTCCTTGCCGCTCAGAGCGTCTGGCCAAATACAACCAGCTTATGAGGTACAGTGAGTGCAGTGGGCCTGAGTGTGGGGAGCTGAGGGCTGTTGGGTTAGAAGGATGCAGCTCTGACTTGGTCTGCCTTCTAGGATTGAGGAGGCACTCGGGGACAAGGCTGTCTTTGCTGGACGCAAGTTCCGTAACCCAAAGGCCAAGTGAGAAGCTGGAGGCCCCAGGACCCCACAGGACAGATGTAGACCTTCAAGCCTTTCTCCCTGAAATAAACACTGGTGCCAACCAAGACAGTGGCATGCTCCTTTGTGGGAGGGAGGAGATGCTGATCTCTGTACTGGAAAAGATAGGAGGTGGGGCAGGAAAGGGAGAAGAGGTGTGTAACCTGCTGGGACAAAGGGGAAGTGAGGGACTGGTCATTGAGGAAGTTGGGCTGGACCTAGAACAACAAAGTTCACATTTTGGAAGGAGGCTGGGGGAAGGAGGCACTGATGGAACATGGAACCAGAACCAGGAAGAGGAGGACTGCAGGAGGAAACTGGATCAGATCTGCCAGTAAGTCTGCAGAGTGTGCTGCAGTGTCAAAGTCAAGTGCTTGTACAGGATGATAGTGAAAACCAGAGCAGCCACTTCTATGGAGCTCAAAGATCTGGAACTACTCTAAATACCTGGCATATACTGACTTGCATAATCTTTGAAACAGTGCTGTCAGATAGTTACCATTACTACCCTCATTTTATAGATGACAAAACTGAGGCACAAGAAAGTCAAATACCCACCCAAGATAACAGTTAGTTACTAGCAGAGCCAGGATCCAAAACTTGGCCGTTTGGCTCTAGTGATTGTGCTCTTAAAATACTATCTCTTGCCAAGCCAGTGTGGGTTGAGCACCAACCTATGATCCAGGAGATCGCGGTTCGATTCCCAATCATGGCACATTCCCAGGTTGCGGGCTTGGTCCCCAGTAGGAGGCATGCAGGAGGCAGCCGATCAATGACACAGTCCAAGACATTCACAGTATGCTCCTCTCTCATTATTGATGTTTCTATCTCTCTCTCTCCCTCTCCATTCCTCTCTGAAATCAATGGAGACATATTAAAAAAAAATACTATCTCTTATAAAAGTGCCAATATTTGGCTTTCTTTGGCTTGCACAAACAACAATTTTACACTGCTCAAGCTAATATCACTTCTCTTCCTCTCCAGGACCCACCTCTGTGTTCAAACAAACCAAGACATTGGGTCAAACAGTGTTTATTGAATGTAGAGTAACCCCAGCCCCATGGGGAAGAAAGTTCCAAGGAGAACAGAGAACAATACAGATTAAATACCCACCTGGGCATTCACACTCTCTTGCACACACACATACACATCCAAACTCTAACAGTGACAAATCAAACACCTGCTTCCTCCAGCCTATGTGATGGCTGTTAGGAGGTGGTTCAGAGGTGGGGCTCCAGAATGGGTTCTAATAGCAGCAGCCTTGTCCCTCCCTGCCCCCCGCCCCGCCCCAGGGAGCTGGGGTGCTTAGGAGGTAGGTGGCAACTCTTCCCCGCTCTGCCGCAGACGCTTCTTGGCTCGGATCTCATTCATGGCCTCTTCAATGGAGCGTGTGTCCCTCTTGTTGGCCACGGGCACTGGGAGCAGAGGGAAGGGAGGGGAGGGCCTAGGATCCCTGTGCCTTAGTTTTCCCTCCCCTGCCCATCCAGTGCTCCTCTCCCCTGCCCTCCCCAGTCCCCACTGTGGCCTCACCACAGCCATAGGTCTTGTTGGCCTGCAGCATATGGGCCGCATCCTTGGCTGCCCCCTTGCCGATGAGGTGGCTGTACTTGTCCTTGTAGTCGCTGGTGGGGCTCACTACCACAGGTCCCTGCTGAGCTGCCTCCTCTTCCTGCCGCTGAGCCAGCTCCTAGGGGTGCAGAGGCGGGGCACTGGTGCTCAGGGGCCTGACCCCAACCCCTCCCAGGTGGTGGGCTGTGGGGTTCCAGGGACTGCCAGGCATAACTCACCTTCAGCTTCCGCTTCTCCTCAGCCTTCTGTGGGTCCCACTCCTCTCCACGGCGGTAGGAGTCCAGCTCTTCATCTGAGGGTGCAAACTCCTGGGGAAGAAGGGATAATGGGGTCAAGGTTCCGTATACATGTTTCATCTCATTTCTCTTCCCCAGGGGTACAGGCTGAAAGGGAGAGAGGAGAGAGTAGGGGACTCAAGTCTGTCACCTTTTTGAAGATCATGACATAGCGACATTCATCGTCTTCCCCGAACGAGAAGGATGTGAGGCCAGCCACCTCCACCACATCGTGTCTGGGATGGGCGGGCAGAGGGGAAAGAGTATGTAGAGCCATGGGGGGGGCCAGCGCCCTTTTCTTGTGGAAATCTTGTGGACTTCCACGCTGGGCCTTTCATGCCACCCTGGCCACCCGTTTCTGGCCTCCCCCAGCCCAAGACACTCACAGTATGCTCCTCTCTATCTTGTTCATCGGCTGAAACTTTTTCTTGATCTGCCCACTGTCTTGGATGAAATCTGACACCTCTTTCTCCATCTTGGGAGAGGGAAATGGGAAGAAGATATGAGATGATGGCTCTGTCCCAATATCCCTCTTCTTAGCTGGGTCAACAGGCCTTCACCTCCCCACACCTATCCCAGCCTTCATGCCGTTGGCTTCCAGGCTTCACCTCTCTTGAGATATTTTCCAAAAAACTGAGTTCTAGTTCTAACTTATTGAAAATCCTTCCTGCAGCTGCCTTGGACTTTGATCTCTCCAGTTGTTCTCACCCTTTTACGAAACTCCACTTTCTGTTGTTTCTCTTGCTCCTGTAGTTTCTTCAGGCGGGCAGCCTGCTCTGGGGGTGAGAAATGGCAGCATGAGGCCAGGGGCAGAAACATGGGTGGGAAGAGTTTGTAAGGCTTCAAAAGAGGTCTGGTATCCACTGGGAGGTATCACGTTGGGAAGGTAGGACTATTGTTTATTCACCAAGCATTTATCAATATTTATTTATTTAAATCCTCATCGGAGGATATTTTTTCCATTGCTTTTCAGAGACTGGAAGGGAAAGAGAGAGAAACATCGATGTGAGAGACACACCGATTGGTTGCTTCCCACACGTGCCCTGACCGGGGCTGGGGATTGAGCCTACAACCAAGGTACATGCCCGTGACCAGAACTGAGCCCAGGACCCTTCAGTATGAGGGCCGAAGCTCTAACCCCTGAGCCAAACCAGCTAGGGTGCATTTAGTGGTATTTAAATCTGGTGCTGTGCTAGGCCCTGGAGCATCAAGATTGTTAAGACATAACTTTGCCCTTCAAGAGCTTAGTAGGAGTAGCAAAGATTAGAATCATGCTTAACCTAATTTCCTAATCTCACAGGGGTAACCAATTAACATTTATTTAATACCCACAATATTCAAAGAACTATAAGGCACCTGGGGAGGTAAGGCGAACAGACTAAGCCCTGGCCTTAAAGAGTTTATCATCTCATTGTCTACATAGGAAAGGGGAAATTAACTTCCTATATTTCGTAATCGCCCCCTCCCCGCAACTTCTCACTTCTACATACAAGGTGAAGCTGAAATGGCTAATCTGACACCTCTCTCCTTTGGGAATGGAGGTGTTCAAAGTCAGCTGTAGAGGAACTTCCCACCCTTGCATATTAATACCCCCTCTCCTCTCTTCTGCTATTTCAAATTCTTTATATCTGTAAGGCCAACTTCTTCCACAGGATCTGAATACCTCTAGCTGCAATGACCTCTTCCCATTTTCCTAATTACTCCATGCCTTTGCACATGTTGTTCCTTCTGCTTGAAATGCTTTTCCTCCTCTTGCAAAATTTGAGATACAGCATGAGGCAGAGTTACTCACTTTCTCTGGGGCCCACACACATTTGGTTCAGACATCTGCTATAGCATGTGCTGAGAACTAATATAATTTAACTATTTATTTGTTTCCCCTACCACTATGAGCTCCTAGGAGACAGGGACCCTGTTCATCTCTTATCCAGTTATTCTGTGGCCCTAGAGCCTGACAACTTAGGAGCTCTCAGCTCTTTGACATCAAGGGCTCTTGACCATCAGTGCATCCCACTGTGGCCATTGAATGTTTGCTGACTGGTTTCTGAGTTTTCTCTGTATCCGAGGAGATGGCATAAGACGATGGTTAAGGTCACAGGCTTAAAAGTTACACCTGGGTTTAAAACCCTGCCACAGTAACCCTGTGACCTCAGGCAAGTGACTAAACTCTGAATCTTGGCTTCCTAGTCTGTCAACTGCTGCTGGTGAACCTAGACAGTCATGGTGAGCATGAAATAATTCCAATCGCCAGTTCCCATTATGTTCCCTCTTTCCTCAGAGCTTTCAAATGCACATCTCTGCCTGTAACACTTTGTTTCCTCTGTCACTTACTGAATTATCTATTCTACAGATCTCAGCTCACTGCAGACTAGGTTAAGGACCCCTAGTTAGCTGCTCTCATAACAATTATTTTTCTTTCAGAGTACTTATCAAGTTGGTTATTAAACTTGTGTGATGATTTAATCAAAGCGCATTTCATCCATGCTTCATATGGTGGGCTCCTGAGGGTACCCTTGGCCCCTAGCAACCGTTCAGTAAATATATTTCGATATTAAGCAGCACTTGATGAACACTTTGAAGGCATCCAGCCTGCTCTGGCCCCCTAGGGCGGATGGGGAGCCGGTGTCCGGGATGGGGCTTATCCGTGATCGCAAGGCCCGCAGGGTTGGGGCTGGGGTCCTTCCCAAGGCAGATTCTGTCAGACTCATTCACACGCCACAGCACGAGCAACCCAGGGAAAGCCTGCAGCCAGGCTGGCCGCGCCCTACGCTGGCAGACGAACTCTTTCTTGAGCCCGCCGGCAAGGACGTTATTCTGAGAACACAAGCGGGGAGCCTACAGCCAATCGGACCGCGTAGAGGCATTCTCTCCTCCCCAATCAACCGCACGACCGCTCGGAGAACTCAATATAAGACTACGGGTGAGATAAGGGCTGGAAAGAGGTAGAAGGGGCCCGATAAGTCAAGTGGGAGGGGCATAAGGGCATGGACCCAGCAACCAATTGGAGGTGCTGGCGGTGAGTGAGCCAGTGGCCCAGAGGAAGGTCTTTAATAGGTAGACCTTAAGTTATGGTAGCCAATAGAAGTGAAAGGACTGCGGATGGGCGTGCCCCTGGACCAATCAGAATGGGAATGGGTCGTGGGACTCTCAGGCCAGATATGGGAGGGGCTGGGTGACCGAACACGCCCTCCTGCCACCCGAAGGCGGGCCAAGGAAACACTAAGGGTTGGGTGGGGTCGAAGGCAGCCTACCAATCAGAGCACGCCACCAGCGGACAGGCGGGCCTGTCCGCGAATGGAAAACAAGGATTGCGAGGCCGGGGTAAGGAAAGCGGCAGGAAGCTGACACTAGGTTTCGGGTAGCCAATCATCGTCCGCTACGACCAGCGGGCGGGTCGGCAGCCCTTGTAGGGACTCTGGGGGGTCTCTAAAGGGGCCTGTGAGGGGTCTTTCAAGGTTGAAGAGGCGGCACCGTCTAAAGAAGGAAGAATGCGGTCCTGGGAATCGAGTGAACAAAGGCAGATGTGAATTTGGGATCCTCACCTCGGGCCCTGCGCCGAGTCTCCTGGTCACCGAGGCTGGGTGGCTTTTCCATGGAGCTCAGGATGGAGCCCAGTAGGTCCGCCATCTTGGGAGTGACAGAGAGGGGGCGGTGCGTCTTAAAGGGAAGGGCGAAGTGCCTTTAAGGCCGGAAACACGTCGGAGGTGGAAAACCTTGCCGGTCCCGCCCCGGCTGTGATCTGGCCCAGCACTATCAGCAGCCTCCCGCCAGCCGAGACCCCGCCCCC